AAAAAGACTATTTTAGAAGACTACTATTTGGTTTTAAATTTTTTTCAATTGGTTTTAATAATACATCCACGAATACTGCTTCTATTTTGAAATTACAAGAAACATGTCAACTTGCTTTTGGTGGTGTTTTTTTATTTTTTCATATTAGATGTTCTCATTATGTTTTAAATTTATGTGTAAAAGGTCTTAGGTCTCTTGAAAATTTTCTTCTTCAATTAACTAAGTTATTTCATTCTTCTAGAGTCATCCATAAGTAATGAAAGAGTGGGCTAGATTTTGTAAATTAAATGGTAAAAGATCAAAAAGATTTCCTAGGGACGTTCCTACCCAATGAGAAACTCGATAGAAATCTACATATAAGTTGCTTAATGAAAATTTTGAATATGAAGAATTATTATGTACTTTTATTGCAAATAATGTTAGACAGTCAATTTATATCCACAACACTAGAATGTTTGTGAAAAAATTTTAGAAATTTTAAAAACTTTTAATGATACTACTTATACCTTAGCTGGTGTTTGTTATTCTGCTATTCATATATTTTTAATTGTTTAGATTAATATTGTTAGTGCTTTAGAAGAATATCAACATGATCATAATTTAAATATGATTATAATAACAATAAAAATAAAATGGACAAATATGACTATCATAGCAATGATATCATTTCTCAATTGATAGTCATAATCTAAATATGACTATCATACTTCTATTTTTTATCCTCATATTAGAATAGATGGTTTGAGTGATTATTAAGTTTTTTATGAAAGTTTAGGATTAGAAGTTGATATTGGTGTAAAGTTAGAGAAAATAGAAAAATTCATCATTAACTTATATGATTAGACAACAAACTACCTTCAAAACTTCTCCATCTATGGATCAAGTTAGCGAGAGTAGCAAAATCAGTAAGGGAGAAATTATTATTACAAAGACAAAATCAAGAGGATTATCAAGAGTTTGCTTAGAGACATTGCTGCGAGTATAGAGTTTCCAATTCTTGACTGGTGGGAGTGATATACAACAATCTTTCTAGTTTTGGCAACGATTGCACAGCAAATACTAGTAACTTCAGTTTCAACAATAGTTGTGGAGCAAGCCTTCAACGCGAGAGGGCACATCTTGGATGAGACCTATTCGTGTATAACTCCCAAATCAGTTGAAGCTCAAACATACATCGACAATTGGACTAAGGCGGAGAAACAAAAATAAGAAATTATTCGCAAAGACAATGACTGCTTATTCGACGACCAATGTATCAACCAAAGAAACGATTGAAAAATCCAACACCGGAAGCCATTGAAAATTTTGAAATTTAAAATTTTGTTATTTTTTATAAAATATAAAAAATATTTTATAAAAACAAAAGACCCTTTGGGTTGAGGGTGGCCTATCGGCCATCCACTTCCTCTTGTGTCGGCGGGAGTCTTCGAATGCTTCGATAGCTCGAAAGACATTACCGCGAAGGTCCATATCTACAAATAGAAGACCTATTAGTCTTATACACGAAAACAAAAGGCAGAGGGAAAGAGTCAGACAATGACCCCGAGGGGAGGGGCTAATTTGAACTTCCCTAAGCTAAGCGTCGCTCATCTATAAGGTGGCCATGGACTCGAACAAAGCATCGAACAACTAGCGGAGTTGCTCCACTCTAGATCATTTAACCTCAGAATCAAGTTTCGAAATTTCCTAATGGACCACATCAAGTCGACAGGCCACCCCCTTTGTGAAGAAACAAAAAGTATTTCTTCCAACCCTATTGGAAGAAAGCACCCCAGGACTCAACAAACAGGATAGGCAAAACGTAGACCAAATCCCTTAGACTCACGGTGAAGCAAGTCTGTAGAAAGGTTGACGATGGGGAGATACCAAGCCTTTGGCACTCCCCAACAAAGGCGACCAAGTAGCGCCAAGAGTTTGACGCCACTTGGGTGAGAGAAAATTTTCAAAAATTCAAGATTTCAACAAAAAAAGGGATAGAGGGGGAATCTGAGCACTGCCACCAAGGTATCAAGAGAGGTACAAAAGAAATGGCATAACTCATATGATCGATCACCAAGCCGAGGAGCTATCAGCTCGAACTTGCTAGGAATGTTGAAAGCTTCCCTGACGTGTATCAGGTCAACCTCCAAGATCCAAGGGTTAAAGTTACACGACCTCGACACAATCTGCGAGGTCCGACTCACCTCCGATGAGGTAGCCTCCCTTATCACGATGACTTTGACCCCTTCAATGGAGGTGGAAGTAGTGGAAGCCGACATCGAAGGTGGCTACGGGACCAAAGAACCATCTGACTCATGGTCGGACATTGGAGATAACAAGACATTTGGATCTATCTGAGTTTTTTGAGTGATAGTTCAAAGACGAAAGAAGATCTGAAGATCTGAAGGCTCTGAGATGTTCAAAGATCCGAAGGCATCGAGAAGTTTTGAAGGTGTGAGCGACCTTTTACTTAACTGCCTCATTGGCCAATGCTTTGGCTAACGAGACATGTAGCATCTTACCATTGGTTGAAGCTGATCAACTGAAATCATTATGATCTTTGGAATCCCTGACGGCACATGCAGTCTCCGCATAGATGTCCCTGCGAACGCCAGGTGAGCCCTATGATAGTTGAAGCGACAACAACCAAATTCAATTAGATTTGCTAGGCGACCAAATCAACGCACTTATTGAAGATCAAGATGGAGACAACGCATGCGAGTCCACATGTCATGATCTTGCGAAGAGAGAAAGTTCCTCGTGTAAGGCACTCGTCCCATGCATGGCCCTTCTAGTCGAACGTCTGAGCGCTAGGGCCTTAGGCCGACTAGCCAAACTACAAGCTCTGGGCTCTTAGGCTGACCGATCGAACGTCTAAACGCTGAACCTCTTGGCCAACTAACTAAACAGCTAAACACATGGTTTTCTCACTGACCGAACGCAATGCACAACCTACAGGCCAAAGTTGCATTTCGACGATGCATAGCCTATGGGCTAAATGTGCATTTCGACAACATAGCCTATGACCCAAACGAGCATTTCGACGATGCACAACCTACAAGCCAAATGTACATTTTGACGATACACAACCTATAAGACTAATATGCATTTTGACGAGACAACCTATAGACAAACGTGCATTTCGATGGCACATCGTCTATGAGCAAAATATGTATTTTGACGATGCACAATCTAGGGACCAAACGTGCATTTCAACAACACACGGCTTTCAAGCTTAACATACACGCCAACCACGTGCGGTCCGAAGCCTAGTGCATGTTGCTACAACACCCTGTCGAACACCCTTGAAGCCAACGGCCCATTCAAGTGAGAAGTTAGAATCATCACTTGACGCACTCCAGGGATCGATGACTCTGCGACATAAAAACCCTGTAATGGAGAGGGCTAGTGATAGGTAAGAGATGACATGAAGAACACGTAAGCTATCACATGGTAACACATGGCCAATAGGTAGACCATCTAAAGAACACGTCGATCAAACATGACCCAAACGTGGCAATCGGATCTAAAGATGCATGGCCATCACGAACCGTACATGGTCGAATGTCCAAACCCTATGATTGGCAAAAATAGATGACATAGGCTTTAGGAGTACTAGCCATCATGCCATACCCTCGCTTAAAATGTTACACGTTCCCCTCTTGCCGTCGACGATCCCAGATGTAACTGCTCTTGAATCACTTATAAAAGGGACCCCAGGTACGTACTCAACACGCTCTTTTCCGTCCCAACTAACGAATCTGACTCGTTCGACTAGTCCAACCATTCTATACTTGAGAACTAACTTGATCATCGAAGGGGCATTTGTCGAGAGCACCCCCAACCTAGTCTTGCAGGGTCGATGCCCCAAAGAACTACCTTCTAGAACTGAGATGAACTTGGAACAAACCTCACTTGGATCCAAATCGTCACTCCAACTTAGACAACCAGAATCTGTACCAACAGTATGGATGAGTTTATATAGTCCTACTGAGCAAGACTATGCCTAAAGAGACTTTTGGAGTGAAGTTTACCTTACCAATGTTATCATGCAAACAAAAACAATAAATTAGGTAGACTAAAGAAATCGCAGACTTCGTAAGTTTGAATCAATATTTCTCAGAAGAATGTCCATTGAATTAGGTAAACAACATTGCCAACAAATATTTCCCCATTGCAACAAAAGCAGCAGCAGTAACAACAGCATATAAATCCCAATTGTTTTGGCTAATATTTAGATGGCATCTATTTATTTTGGGTTTAAGGGCTTCATAGAATGATCACTTAATTCAAAGAACTAGTGCATATTTAATGTTAGTCAGTTTTATTGGCTCAAACACAAAAATAGATGAAGAGAAGCAAACATGCTCGCAAAGAGGTTGAACATTACGTAACTATGACATTCTGAATCATTAAAGAAATCAGAAATTGCATAAGTAAATAAATTACCACCATATAAATGTTCATTATGCTAAGCACGTAAAATCCAAGGTTAAGTTTCAAACATACATATAAAATCTATGTAAAAAAACAAAGGGAAGGAGAAACCATACAGAAACCGCAGTTTAGTTAGCTTCCCCAATGAATCAGGTATTTCACCAGTGAAATTGTTTAGATAAAGATCCAAGCTCACCAAATTTGTCAAATTTCCAAGCTCACTAGGAATTGTCCCACTAATGTTGTTACTGTAAATTTCCCTGTTTTTGATGAAAAAAGATTTTTTTTTCATCAATACAACAAATCAACAAAAGGGACCCCAAAAGATAGTTCTAGTCATAAAGATTACACTGTGCTCATCCAGGATTTGTAGCCATAAACATGATGCCTCAATGAGAAAACATTAACTTCTTATAGTCAAATGTAAAACAATATATAGTTCAAAAGAATAATTGAAATAATTAGGTTCTGAGAAAATATCTGACTTGTTCAAAATGCATCACACATAATTTTAGTTCCAACTAAACATAATGTACTACATTGGTCCATCAGTACAACAAAAGAATCAACTTGGACACTCTTTTCTAGTGAGGAATGCCTAACTGAATTAATCACAACAAATTTCATTTGTCTCAGCAATGGGGCACACAATATCAATTAACAAATCCAGAAATCATTTTAGAAAGTTGTGCCAAATGGTCTTGATCTTTTTAGCACATTAAAAGCAATGGGGAACAATTTTTCTCCCCAAAGTAAGCAAATTGCATCAATGATAAAAGTGAAAGAAGATAATGAATACGATATATGCCAGAAACTTGCCTAGATTAGAACTTGACTGATCTTGAAATAAATGAAAAGAAGATTTGTTAAGGATGGATCAATGAGAAGCAATGTTAATCATTTTATTTAAAAGGAGCCACCGTTGCTTTCAAGGCCTGATTTATTATTAGGTTATACATTCATAACCAATAGAGAGGCAATCAGTGCAAATTGAACTCAGAAGTAATAACTTTGCATGTTACAGTTGAATTAGATTTGTAGTTCTGGATCATTTACCCCCTTTAATAAACAAATTTTACAACTAAAAATGGTGAGATTCGATTTCATGTGCCTCGTTTCTCTTTAATTAACTTGTTGTGCACTAGAAAATGATAGATGTTGTTCAGTACACTCAACTTCTTATATTATAGATATAAACTACAATCAAGTATTTAGTAAGACCAGCAATAAGATCTTGGCATGACTTACAGATATTGCAAATTTTTCAAAAGACCAATCTGTGGGACCAAGTTTCCAGATAAGTTTGCATTTCCCAGATCACTGAGATAAACCAAAAATGGTTAGTTCAACATGTTCTTTAAAGTTTTCATATTTAGCTCAACGATATGTGTCCACTTACACTCTAATAACACTATTGTCATTGTTGCATGTGACATGGAACCATGTGCATGGATTGACCAAAGTTGGATCCCAGCTCTGCAGCACGCCATTAGGATCATTTAAATAGGTCTTTAGAGTATGCAACGCATCACCTATTGAAATATATAAGTGAAGCCATAAGTAATGCTTGAACAATTCTAAGCAGTTAATACACTAAGGAAACTACCAGAGAAGGGCACATAGAACAATAAAATATATAACATAAAAAATAGAACTATTAGAAACTACATAATCACAAATACACTAGTCATGAAAATGGATTACATATTTGGAAAATCTATGTCTATCTTTAATCAACAAATACGAAGTTAAGTACACTTGCTAAATAGATACTAAATATACAACTGTGTTTATCTGAAAAAGATATGGATATTAAACAGATCTATGTGATAGAGATACAAGGCTGAAAAAGATGTAAATATTGCATGAAATTGATACATTACCAACAAAGAATTATGTTCGGTATCAGACCATTGTTCCTTATTTCTTCTTCATGCATGGGTCAGAGAAACTTGAATGCTATTTTAGGTTTTAAGTCATGATGGTCATCGTGCATGTTCAGTTTAGAATCGGCACCGATACTTGCTCAACAAAATTATGCCATGCTACTATCCTCAGCAGAAGATTTCTTGTTTAATTTGTAAACTGGTATGCATGTCATACAATATAAAAGGAAATCCTATTAACACCGTGTTCATTCAGGAAGAACTTGAGATGCTAGTTAATTCAGTAAGGACATGAGATACACTAAACAAATTGTCGTAGGTTAAAGCCTCAAGAAGATTTTGGTAGATCCTATGAAAATTTATGAGAAAATTAAAGCACCATTTGATAAACCTTAATCAGTGATGCTTTTAGGTTACTACTTCTAAGTCATCATCATTAACATTCATGACCTCTCTTTTTATAACTAAATGTTTCATCGAAGGAAATTGTTGGTACAGCTGGTAATGGTTCATCTTATATTTTATTACTCCCTTGGAGAAATGATTGATAAGGGTCATCTGCAGAAAAGAGCTAGACATACGGTCGATGTAGTTTGAAGTTAGACATGCTTATATTGTTATAGGTGCTTTCTTCTTTATGGAGTCTGCTTCACCACCTTCTCCTTTCTCTGCATTGTCTGCTTACCTTGCAGCATTCCTCCCTTCTGTTGCAGTCACTACTTCACTAAAGGAAAACAACCGACAAGCTAAATGACAACTGCAAGCTTTGTGCATTGCTAACCTCAACCTAACATCTCCTCATCATATTACATTGGGTAATGAACCACCAATATAGTCCTGACTCTTCTATTCCCTTATGTTTCCTTCTTCAAAATTATGTGCTTTTCTATTGATAGGCCCTTCTCCAAAAATGATGTATCTACATGCTCAAAATCTGAATATTTATTTCCCCTGTGGCAGAACTAGAAATATGAGCCTATGCCCAAAAATTAAGCTAGAAGGCTGAGAATTTCCAACAAAAACTGGAAGGCAGTTTTAGTTCAAAAGAATCTTTGTTTACTTATGCCCATTCCAAACTTATAAAGAATCGTATATGGTAAAAGATTAGTTACTAAAGAATAAAAATTAATTGTTTAGACAAAAGATGATGTTTCATAAAAATCATTAATATATAAAAGAACTAGCTCAAATGGATGACCAAATTAAAAGTGACAACATCATTAAATTCACACAATCTTTCTCTTAAGAGCCTCCGTGGTTATCCTACTAGATGAATTTAAAAAACATTTAAATACTCAAGCGACGCAATAATGGTCAATGTTCCAGAAAAATTGATACTCTTGACTTCAGCAAATGAATTCTAAGAGAAAAAAAGCACTCGTCTTTGAAGATTTCACCCCCTAGAGTAATGGTCCCTTCCTCTAACCCAGCAGACCATGTTACATGAGACAAGCATCAAGCACCGAGAACTTCTCCATCAAAAATATCCCTTACCAACTTAAAAGCAAAAGAAAAACATCATGAAGAAATCATACAACGTAAAACCCGAGCAAAAGCATTATGTTATGACTACATCCAACACTAAGCTTGAAATCGTCACTATAAAACCTCATACTCCAAGAGATCTATCAGATCTTGATCCCCTTCATCATCCAAGACCAGCTCCAACATCCAGCACTTCCCTCGACACAACAAGAGAACAGAAAGAATCGGTACCAAATCTCCGCATACCTTCGACATTGGCGACTACCCTTGCAAGCGGACTGGACAAACCCAAGACCAGCCAGAGCAGCCACTGGGCCACCAGCTGCAGCCCCGCCGCCGCCATTGCCGCAGCGAGGTCCCGACTCCTACTCACCCCACCGCTCTAGGCCCAAACGAGCTCCAGAAGCCGAGAACCCTCAGGCAGAGCCCAGAACCGGCGCCATTTCTCCCGAGAAGAGCATCAAAAGAATCGGAATCCGAGGCTGAATGCTGAGAAACGACAGGGTCGGAGATCGGTAGGAAGCCACCGACGCGATCTTGTCCTCGAACCCTCTTCGATTTCCTTTTGGTGGTCGCCGTCCCTTCTCCTCTCTTCTCTTCCAACCCGGAGAAGATCCCTGGATATGGCTTAGGCTTGGTTTTTTTCTATTTTATTGGTTTAAATATTAAAAGAGCGACGGTTCGCTAGCTCCACGAAGCCTACGAGTTACCGGGGTCCAAGTTTGGACTAGCTGTCTGTTTATCCCAACACAAAACATATTTTTTAGCACAATGATTCGGTTAGTCATTGGGTCCCATAATAATTAGCCAAATGAAACGTCCCTTAGAAAGCACTGTGACTTATTGGTGACAGCAAATTTAAGCAACTGGGTAGCAGCCACGATGGGACAGCGGTCTTGAGGAGAGACTGGTAACGGGCGACTGAGGAACGCGTTTCCGGACGAAGCCCACAAGCTAACGAAACAGCTTTCAGCACGACAATTCGTTCGATGTTGGGACCCACAAGAGATAACCAAACGGGAACCACGGGTTACAACGATTTGTGACCTAATGGACACAGCGCATTGAAGCACAGCCACGTTCGGACCGCCGTCCAGAGGAGAGACTGGCAACCGCCGATGACGGAAACGCGTACCCCTTGGAAAGTCAACGAGTTACGGGGATCCAAATTCGGATCAGATGTAAGTTAATTCCAACAAGAAACAGAATACGGAACTCCGATTCATCAAAAGCGTGGCCCCACAAAAAGTGACCAAGCAAAAACTACCCTTAGAGCGATTTGTTAATAGTAAGGACAGCGAACTGAAGCAACGAGGTGATAGCGACGGTGGGCCCGTCTTGCCGAGAAACGGTAACGGGCGATGCCCATCCGTTTCACCTCCCACTCGGGAAACTAGTTAACAAAAGAAATAGATAAATAAATAACTGTGGCCAAAGTTATTAATTCGCCTCCGTCAAAAGTATATAAATGTCTATTCAACCATATATAAGAAAGAAGAAAAAGACTAAAATAAATATTTTCACCATCTTGATAAACAGAATAAAAGAAGAATTAAAATGATATATATATATATATATATATATATAAGTTTAAGAAGAATTTATGACAACAACACATTGGTATACATATATATACATATATATAAATACATATATAAATATATATACATAAATATATATATATATGTATGTATATATATACATATGTATGTATATATGTATGTGTATATATATATATAAATATATATATATATATGTATGTGTGTGTATATATATA